AAAATAGGTCCCACTTTGCAGACGCCGAGATGGTGACTTCTGTCAGCAGTTCAGAGTGTCCCAATTACCTTATTAGACAAAAGTCATTGTAATTCGCTGAGCGTTCCCGGCTCAGAAATTTCTCTCGGAGCCCTTGTTTCAACTTCAGATTTTACAAAAGGACCCAGGAAGAAATTTTAGCCAATTTATCTTCACGGTCATTCTTCCCCCCCCCACCCCCACCCCTGTCTATTTGATCTGGGCCGCTCTCCAGGGAGACAGCTATTTGTTAAAAAGCTAATTATGTTGGGAAATGAATTGGGGGGGTCTCCTGGGAGAGATCACTGGGAGATTCCTAAGCAGGTTAAATCTGAATTAGTTCCTTTGGGCAACACAAATGCTTTACAGACTCTTAACTAGAGAGATGGGGGGGGGGGGAAATGTCCTTTTGCAGATTCCATTTTTCGTTTAACTGAATTGTTGTGCTGAGTTGGCCTGCTTAGGCCACAGAGTCCAATCCCTTACTCAGGGCGTTTTTTTTTCTATCCTAGCTTCCTTCTGCCCTATTTTTTGCATCAATTTAATTCTTGAAGAATCCTGACTTCGTTGTTGTTAGTTGCGAAGTCGTGTCCGACCCATTGCGACCCCATGGACAACGTTCCTCCAGGCCTTCCTGTCCTCTACCATCTTCTGGAGTCCATTGAAGCTCACGCCTCCTGCTTCAGGGACTCCCTCCGGCCACCTCCTTCTCCGTCGTCCCCTTCTTCTCTTGCCCTCCATCTTTCCCAGCATCAGGCTCTTCTCCAGGGAGTCCTTCCTTCTCATTAGGTGGCCAAAGTACTTGGGTTTCAACTTCAGGATCTGGCCTTCTAAAGAGCAGTTGGGGTTGATCTCTTCTAAGATTGACTGGTTTGATCGCCGTGCAGTCCAGGGGACTCGCAGGAGTCTTCTCCAGCACCAGAGTTCAAAGGCCTCCATTCTTTGGCCTTTCTCAGCCTTTCTTATGGTCCAACTTTCACAGCCATCCATTGTAAGTGGGAAAGCCATGGCCTTGACTATACGTTGTGCACATTTGTGTAGAGCAGTGTTTCCCAAACTTGACAATTTTAAGGCATGAGGACTTCAACTCCCAGAATTCCACAGCCAGCAACGCTGGCTGTGGAATACTGGGAGTTGAAGTCCACATGCCTTAAAATTGTCAAGTTTGAGAAACACTGGTGTAGAGAATAGAATAGAACTGGAAGGGACCTTGGAGGTCTTCCAGTCCAGCCCCCTGCTCAACCAGGAGATGGTTTTCCAAATGGTGTTCAATGTTGTTTCTCGGTTTTCCTCTAGAAATTGACTTTTTGCGCCTTTCCTTAAGATATGCATCTGGTGTTTTTTTTAAATTTTTAGATTTCTTTTATCCCGTGTTCATTATTTTTGATGAAGAACTCAAGGTATACCTAATGCCCCTTCTTCCTGTTTTCCTCACAGTGACAACCCTGTGAGGTGGGTTGGGCTGAGAGAGAGCGTGGCTGGCCCAAAGCCATCTAGCTGGCTTTCCTGGCTAAGATCTCCCAACTTCTAGTCTGTTACCCAAGGAGGGACTAGAACTCACCATTTTAAATAGGAGCCAGCCGTGTGCTGCAGCTGCCAAAAAAGCCAACACAGTGCTGGGCTGCATTAACAGAGGGAGAGAATCAAGATCAGGTGAAGTCTTAATACCACTTTACCAGGCCTTGGTAAAGCCACACTGGGAATACTGCATCCGGTTGTGGTCACCATGATGTAAAAAAGATGTTGAGACTCTAGAAAGAGTACAGAGAAGAGCAACAAAGATGATTAGGGGACTGGAGGCTAAAACATATAAGGAACGGTTGCTGGAATTGGGCATGTCTAGTTTAATGAAGAGAAGGACGAGGGAGGACATGATAGCAGTATTCCAGTATCTCAGGGGCTGCCCCAAAGAAGAGGGAGTCAAGCTATTTTCCAAGGCGTCTGAAGGCAGGACAAGAAGCAACGGAGGGAAACTCATCAAGGAGAGAAGCAACCTAGAACTAAGGAGAAACTTCCTGACAGTGGGGATAATTAACCAGTGGAACAACCTGCCCCCAGAAACGGTGAATGCTCCAAACTGGAAGTTTTTAAGAAGAGAGTGGACAGCCCTTTGTCTGAAATGGTATATAGGATTTCCTGCCTGAGCAGGGGGTTGGACTCAGTGACCTCCAAAGTCCCTTTTAACATTATTATTATTACTATTATTACTATTACTATTATTATTATTATTATTATTATTATTATTATTATTATTATTATTATTATTATATCATCATCAACAACAACATCATCATCATCTCCTGGTGATTGGCCCAAAATCAACCAGCTGGCTTTTATGCCCAAGGCGGGACTAGAACTCACAATCTCCTTGCTTTTTCCAAGCCAGCACTTTAACCACTACACTAGGGGTAGGCAATCTGGGCTCTTTTATGACTCGTGGACTTCAACTCCCAGAATTCCTGAGCCAGCATGAGCCAAGGTTGCCTACCCCTGCACCACACCAAGCTGGCTCTCGCCATGGATACATGAAAGCACAGATTCCGTATTCCGTCAGATTCCTGCAGATCCATTTTCCCAAGGAGTTGCCTGCTCCTTGTTTTTGGAGTGGATCCCTTCAGCTCTTGGCTTGCTTCTACCAGTCACTTCCTGTTTCTTCCAGCTGTTGCGGTCTGTGGTTTCTATCTTGAGCACTTACAACGGAGAGTAGACCTGCAGACCCGCAGAGTGCAAGGTTAATCTTGCTGGCTTCTCTCAGGATGCAGTTTAGAATAAATCGATCCCCAAGGGGTCAGGGGAATGCAGTGAAGAGAGCAGAAGGCTGTAGGTTGTTGAGTTGTGATTTATATTCTGGGAAGGGTTGTGGATGGTGTCAATGGTGCCTTTAACAGCAGTAATTCTAACTGGAGAATTGAAGGTTTACTTTAAAACAGAAGTGGGGAACGATGGGCCCTTTGTGACTTGTAGACTTCAACTCCCAGGGCCATCGTTCCCCATCCCTGATTTAAATAATCCACTTGGGATTTCGGTGCCAGATTGGGACTGCAAGATTTAACCCTTTCTGGGGACTGAATAAAGATTGGTGGATTTCGTGCACTTGGTGGTGGAAGAGAGATGGATGGATGGATGGATGGATGGATGGATGGAGATAGATAGATAGATAGATAGATAGATAGATAGATAGATAGATAGATAGATAGATAGAGCAAGATAGACAGAGACAGATGGATAGACAGATAGATAGAGATAGGTGAGTGGATAGAGGTAGGTAGGCAGGCAGGCAGACAGACAGACAGACAGATAGAGCAAGATAGAGAGAAACAGACACACAGACAGACGGATAGAGATAGATAGACAGAGATAGGTGAGTGGATAGAGACAGATAGTTAGATAGATAGTTAGATAGATAGATAGATAGATAGATAGATAGATAGATAGATAGATAGATAGAGCAAGACAGATAGAAACAGACAGACACAGAAATGGATAGAGATAGATAGAGATAGGTGAGTGGATAGAGGTAGGTAGAGGTAGGTAGATAGGTAGATATAGATAGATCAGTGGTTCTCAACCTTTTTAATGCTGCGACCCCCAACCGGTCGTAAGTCGAGGACTACTCAACTGGTACAGCACCGTTTTCAGAATGGGGCTTTTGGTGGGCTCAGCAGGGCAGAGACAGCCTAGACAATTCCTATTCCTATTCAAGAGAGTCTCTTCTATTGGCTTTCAAAAGCCAATAGAATAAAAGGGAGTAGCACAGCTAAGGAAAAGGGGGGGGGATGGCGGACTGCGTTGTTTGGCGACCCCCGTGAAATGGTCATTCGACCCCAAATGGGGTCCCAACCCACAGGTTGAGAACCACTGAGATAGATAGACATAGACAGATAGATAGAGCAAGATAGATAGAGCAAGATAGATAGAAACAAACAGACAGACACAGACAGATGGATAGAGATAGATGGAGATTGGTGAGTGGATAGAGATAGATAGATAGATAGATAGATAGATAGATAGATAGATAGATAGATAGATAGATAGATAGATAGATAGATAGATAACCTTTATTGTGATATTTTACTGTGGGCACATTGGCATACATTAAAGATGAAAAATTGTTGCTTGCTCTCAAAAGTGTACACCTACATAACACACATTTAAACATGCTATATACAATATATGTATAGACCTACACGCTTACATATAAGTAACATATAAATATTATTCACTGTCCATCTTGAATACATAACAGAAGGAGGAAGCTTTAGACTTCACAAGGTTAATACTATATGGAACAAAACTGTGACTGAATCTGGATGTTCTGCTTCAGATACCACACGGGTTCCCCGCCAGGGGTGCAAAACAATATTCCAGGTGTGTGTGAAAACCTGGGTTTAGAAGTTTCAAAATTATAGTGTATATCCATAATACTTTATTTTGAACTTTTTCAAGGGGGGTGAGACTATATCGGAAGCGTTCTAGGGGCGCGGGGTATAGAAAAGGTTGGGAGCCGCTGTTTTAAGATCTGTAAGCTGTCCAGAATCACCATTTTCAGGGAGATGGGCGGCATATTGGATGGATGGATGGATAAATGGATGAATGATGGATGTATAGATGGATGAATGGATGGACGGACAAATGGATGGATAGATAAATGGATAAATAAATGGCTGGATGGATAAATGGATGGATAAATGGATGAATGATGGATGTATAGATGGATGAATGGATGGACGGACAAATGGATGGATGGATAAATGGATAGATAAATGGATAAATAAATGGATGGATAGGTGGATAAATGGATGGATAGGTGGATAAATGGGTGGATGGATAAATGGATGGATGATTATTGGATGGATGAATGGATGGATAAATGTTGGGAGACCACGAAGTCCCCTCCTCCCAGAAGGGAGCAAGGAGATCAGGATGATGGGCTCTTTGTCTGAGCCACGTCGTCAAGGCCAAACCGCTTGTCTCTTTTGCAGACGATATAATTAAATTGAACAAGAGAGAAGAGAGGAAACACAATTTCCCGAAGATGAAGAGAGGCCTTCACCAGAACGGGACTCGGCAGTTCAGGATGAGGAGAATGAAGTGGGGAATTCAAGAATATCCAGGTTAGTTGAGTCTGGAACATGGTTTGTTCTCACGGAACTAGGGAGAAACCGTTCAAGGCCTCTGTCTTTTGGCAGCTAAGAGATCACTCCTAATCCCTTCTTTTTCCTTCCTTCCTTCCTTCCTTCCTTCCTTCCCTCCCTCCCTCCCTCCCTCCCTCTTTCTTTCTTTCTTTCTTTCTTTCTTTCTTTCTTTCTTTCTTTCTTTCTTCCTTTCTCTTTTTCTGTCTCTTTCTCTCTGTCTTCCTTTCTTCCTGCCCTCTTTCTTTCTTTCTTTCTTTCTTTCTTTCTTTCTTTCTTTCTTTCTTTCTTTCTCTCTTTCTCTTTCTCTTTCTCTCTTTCCCTTTTTCTTGCTTTCTCTTTTTCTGTCTCTTTCCTTCTCTTTCCCTTTCCTTCTCTGTCTCTCTTTCTTTCTCCTTTCTTTCTCTTTTTCTGTCTCTTTCTTTCTGTCTCTTTCTCTCTGTCTTCCTTCCTTTCTTCCTGCCCTCCCTTTTACTTTCTTTCTTTCTTTCTCTTTTTCTTTCTTTTTCTTTTTCTGTCTCTTTCCTTCTGTCTCTTTCTTTCTCTTTCTCTCTGTTTTCCTTCCTTTCTTCCTGCCCTCTTTCTTACTTTCTTTTTTCTTTCTCTTTTTCTTTCTTTCTCTTTTTCTGTCTCTTTCTTTCTCTTTCCTTCTCTGTCTCTTTCTTTCTCTGTCTCTCCTTCCTTCCTTCCTTCCTTCCTTCCTTCCTTCCTTCCTTCCTTCCTTCCTTCCTTCCTTCCTTCCTTCCTTTCTTTCTTTCTTTCTTTCTTTCTTTCTTTCTTTCTTTCTTTCTTTCTTTCTTCTTTCCCTGGCAGGCTTTGGCAAGAACCACTTAGGACGTCGGAAGCAGGTGGCAGGGAAGAGGCGTGCCTACGGCATCAAGACGGGCTTGGCGGCGAGGAAAGCCATGGGGGCTCACAAAGGCATCAGCCCCCTCAACAGGTCACCCCTCAGTGAGAAGGTACTGCCTGGGCTCACTGCAGTTCGGAGAAGGGAGGAAAGCTGCTTTAGTTTCTTCCTGTCATCCAGCCATGAGATTGCATGCCGGCCAGCTGGGGGCATTCTGGGAGTTGACGTCCACCCGTCTTAAAACGCCTCCGCTTGAGAAACGTTGGTCCAGTACGGGTAGTCCTCAACCTACGGCCGCAATTGACTTGCCCCAAATTTCAGTTGCTAAGCCAGACCTTTGTCAAGTGAGGTTTGCCCCCTTTTACGCCCTCGTCACAGTCACTAAGCGAATCACTGCAGCTGTTAAATTAGGAACACGGTTGTTAAGTGAAACCGGCTCCACCCCCATTGACCTTGCTTCTCAGAAGGTCGCAGAAGGGGATCACGTGACACACCCCCCCACCCCCGGGACACTGTGACCGTCATAGATATGAGTCGGTTTGCCGAGCGTCCGAATTTTGATCATGTGACCGCGGGGATGCTACAAGGGGTCCTAAGTCTGAGAAAACGGTGCTCCTTTTTCCAGTGCCGCTCTAAGTTTGAACCGTCACTCAATGAACTGCTGTAAGTAGAGGACCACCTGTACATTAGATTGAGGCTACCCCGAGCCTGGTGTTAGGTCAGGGGGGTCTCCAAACCCGGCCACTTGAAGACCACCGGACTTCAATTCCCAGAATTCCTTAGCCAGCAGTTTCTCTTTAAAAACTCATTTTAATCCTCGGAAGTTTATTTTCCTGTTTGATCTTCAGGCTTCTCTCCTAGGATGTGATCTGGCTCCGGGTCTAACCTCTGGATCTTACGATCTGCTTCTCTGTTTAGTTTGGGGCTGGGAGGGGAGGGGGCTTTGATCTCGTTTTTGTTTTGCTGGTTGTGCACGGGACTGGCTTTGGGTGTCTTCCCTAAAGAACCTGCAACGGAATTACTCCGTTTTGAAAAGGAAGACGCCCGCCCAGAGACAATCCGAATTACAGAGGAAGCAAGGAGCCCGCCTCCGGAGACCCGCCTTGCTAAACCGAAGGTAAGCGTTCGGAGAGGCGCCCTTAAAGCTTGGACTCGGGGGAAAGCCTCCAGACATTACGAGGAAAGGAATTGCTTTACAGGGGTTATCACAACCGCTGAGCCCAAGAGTCCTGTTGCTAAGCGAAGCGGTTATTAAATGAGTTTTGCCCCCCTCTTGCGAACGTCCTTGTTCCAGTTGTTCAGCGAATCGCCGCTGGAAGCATCTCTCTCCCTCCGAAATTGCCGATTTTCCACTGGAATCGGCTTCGGTGACTCACTTAACAACAGTGGCAAGAAAGGTCGTAACGGGGCAAAAAGCACTTTACAACTTATCTCACTTGGTGACAGAAATTTTGGGCTTGGTTGCCATAAATGGAGGACTGTCTATTCCGTTCAAACCATTCCCATAATCTTTGCAGGATTTTTGCCACTCGGTGTACCTGGCTGTGTAATTATATCTATATATCTCTATATATTTATATCTATCTGTCTGTCTGTGTGTATGTATGTATGTATGTGTATGTTTGTATGTATGTATATGTATATATACATATACATACTATGTTCATAGTATGTTTAGGTGTGTGTCATGTATGTGTTTCACTTTGAGAGCAGGCAACTAAATTTCATTTTTGATGTGTGCCGTTGTGCCCACAGTAAAATATAAATAGATAGGTAGATCTAGATCTATTTATCTACCTAATACCTATCTTCCTTCCTTCCCTCCCTCCCTCAAACTCCTTCCTTCATTCTATCCTCACCCACTATCTATCTGTCTGTCTATCTATCTATCTATCTATCTATCTATCTATCTATCTACCTTCCTTTCTTTCCTTCCTTCCTTCCCTCCCTCCCTCCCTCTCTCCCTCAAACTCCTTCCTTCATTCTACCCTCACCCACTATCTATCTATCTTTCTTTCTTTCTACCTTTCTTTCCTTCTTTCCTTCCTTCCTTCCTTCCCTCCCTCCCTCCCTCAAACTCCTTCCTTCATTCTACCCTCACCCACTATCTATCTATCTTTCTTTCTTTCTACCTTTCTTTCCTTCTTTCCTTCCTTCCTTCCTTCCCTCCCTCCCTCCCTCAAACTCCTTCCTTCATTCTACCCTCACCCACTATCTATCTATCATCTATCTATCTAGATGAATAGATAGATAGATATAGATAGATAAAGATATAGATAGATATAATCAGCAAATTCGCTGATAGTCCACTTGAATCTGCAGGTCTTTATTTCTTTATCTGATAAAACTTTAGATTGTGACCTCTTTGATCCAGTGAATTTCCTTTTGTCACTCTGTAACAATGCAGGTAGTCCTCAACGTACGACCACAATTCGGAATGGAACTGTGCTTAAGTGATGTGGTCGCTAAGTGAGTCATGCCTCATTTTACGACCATTTTGCCTGGTCCTTAAGTGACTCATACCTTAAGTGAAGCAAAACCTCCAACTCCCTGGGAAGGAAGTGACTTCGGGACACAGCGACTGTCTTAAACGCATGCCGATTGTCAACACCCGAAATTTCACAATGCAACTGTCGGAACACTGTTATAGTCATAAGTGTGAGGACTGGGCCTGGTTGGCTTTTTTTTCCATGCCATTGTAACTTTGGTTGTCAAACGAATGGTTGTAAATCGAGGACTACCTGTTTCGTGGCAATAAATCAGAAGTAGGCAACCTTGGCTCTTTTATGAATCGTGGACTTCAACTCCCAGAATTCCTGAGCCAGCCATGCTGAGGGGAAAGGGAGAAGTTTCCAAGCTGAGCCATGCTGGCTGAGGAATTCTGGGAGTTGAAGTCTACGAGTCATAAAAGGGCCCTAGTTTCCCACCCCACCCCGGCAGTAAATGATGCAGGGACATATGGCTATGATTATTTGCTATATTTACAGGCCGAGCATCCAGTCTCTGTCTGCCAGAATTGGGAATAAGTTATACCAGCAGAAAGATATGCGCCAAGCGACTTTCTTCTTTCGCCGGGGCCTGAAGGTATTTATATATCTGCATTTCTCTACCGGAAGCACCTGTCAATCAAAGGCAGGAGTAGGCAACTCAACTCAGCTCTTTTATGAATTTCTGAGCCAGCCATGCTGAGGGGAAAGGGAGAGGTTTGCAAGCTGAGCCATGCTGGCTCAGGAATTCTGGGAGTTGGTCCATGAGTCATGAAGGGGCCATAGTTTCCCCATGCTGGCTGAGGAATACTGGGAGTTGAAGTCCACGAGTCATGAAGGGGCCATACTTCCCCCGTGCTGGCTCAGGAATTCTGGGAGTTGAAGTCCACAAGTCGTGAAGGGACCATAGTTCCCCCATGCTGGCTGAGGAATTCTGGGAGTTGAAGTCCACGAGTCATGAAGGGGCCCTTAGTTCCCCCATGCTGGCTCACGAATTCTGGGAGTTGAAGTCCACCAGTCATAAAAGAGCCAAGGTTGCCTACCCCTGCTCTAGGGGAAGGCAGGATATCTGTTCAATGGACCAAGTGTCCTGCAGATCTTAAAACAAGAGTCTTCAAACTTGGCCCTTTGATGGCTGGTGGACTTCAACTCCCAGAATTCCTCAGCCAGCTTCCATTTTGTTTGTTAAATTTAAGACAGAGGTCTTCAAACGTGGCCCTTTGATGACTGGTGGACTTCAACTCCCAGAATTCCTGAGTCAGCGTGGGGAAACTATGGCCCCTTCATGACTTGCAGACTTCAACTCCCAGAATTCCTCAACCAGCATGGGGGAACTATGGACCCTTCATGACTCGTGGACTTCAACTCCCAGAATTGCTCAGCCAGCATGCGGGAACTAGAGCCCCTTCATGACTTGCGGACTTCAACTCCCAGAATTCCTGAGTCAGCGTGGGGGAACTAGGGCCCCTTTATGACTTGCGGACTTCAACTCCTAGAATTCCTCAGCCAGCATGGTGGAACTATGGCTCCCTTCATGGCTTGCGGACTTCAACTCCCAGAATTCCTCAACCAACATGCAGGAACTATGGCTCCCCTCATGGCTTGCGGACTTCAATTCCCAGAATTCCTGAGCCAGTGTGCCTGTCTTAAAATCTTGTCACTCAGTTTGGTTTCCGTTGAGGGCGTTTTCCTGAGGGGGAGCCTAGCTTTGAGGTCTTTTGTTACCCCACTAGGTAATATCATCAGTGCTAGAAGGGAGAGGGGTTTGCTGAGCTTGCTTGTTTTGCTGCAGACATTTCACTAACCGACTAGGTAACACCATCAGTGCTAGAAGGGAGAAGGGTTTGCTCTCTGCTTATACCCAAGTAGCCTGGCCTGTCAATGTTGGCCTTGGAGTTTTTCCCTGGTTAGGCTGTTGATTATGTTAACTTGTTTATCTGAGATGATAGTTTGTTCATTGGATTATTATTTACTTCTTGACTGTTGCTTTAGCATTAATCTTGGTGCTAGTCCCTGTTGATTGCTGGTGAGATAGTAAACTCCACTCCCTTCTAGCACTGATGATGTTACCTAATTTGGTAATGAAATGTGTGTAGGAAAACAATTAAGTTTAGAGAGCACCAGATTCTTCCTCCTCCTCCTCCTCCTCCTCCTCACCACACACCCACCCTCCCTTTTTAGCACTGATGGTGTTACCTAGTAGGGTCGTTAAATGTCCGCCAGAAAAGCACTAAGCTCAGAGAGCACCAAGGACCCCACCTGTGGATACCCTTGCAGGGTATAATTATAGGGGTAGAAATATGAAAAATGAATTCTGGAAGCTTTCACAAAAGCCCATAAGCATCTAGGAGAACGTTTCTCAAGCCTAGAAACTTTACGATGTGTGGGCTGCAAATCCCAGAATTTCCCCAGTCAGCCGTGCCAAGGTTGAGAAACACCGATGGAGCAAATAGGAGGACTGTCCTGGTTCCGACAGATGAAACTCTTCAAAAGAACTTCGAGGCATTGTTTACTTTAAAGGATCTTTTATTCGAGTAGCAGAATATCGGCACTGCATAATCGAAGCCAAAAACTGAATTCCCCTCCCCTGGGCACATAGTATCCAAGCACAATTCCCTCCTCCAATTAACCGTTATAAATCACATTCCCCAATTAGCTTGAAGCACAGGCTTCCTCTCCAGTTCTCCAGCCCGGCAATTCTTTATCAGCTCTGATTTCAATAACCTTGATCCTCAAGTTAGGTTTTGTGTTGTTACGTCTAGCTGGACTCTTTCACATTTCCCCCTAAAAGCGAAAGGGAAAAAGATGGCTCCATTTCCCTCTGTTGTCAATGCAAAAACATCCGATGTTAGCAGCATCCTCAAGGACTTCTTGTAACTGTAGGAAGTAGAAGTAGAAATCTTTTATTTTTCCTCACATGCTTCACCTGGCTAGCTTGTTACCCATAAGTATCTGATTTTTTTCTCCCCCCCCCCCCTTTTCCCATCCCCAGGTACAAGCACAAGTCCATCCGGAGGATGACCTCAGAAGCCAGGGAACCAAACGGACTCGCCCGTAGGTATTCGAAAGGAATTGACCGAGCAATCGCCAAGCCATACCCTGTTTTCTTTTGGAGGACGTATCTCAATTCTATATTTTTTTTTAAAGGACCACGGGTGTTTTTTTTGTTCTTGCAAACTCATGCAGAAAAATGCAGCACGGGAATTCAGTTGGATCGGAAAGAGGAGCTGGTGGCCGCTGGAGAAACGAGTGGGATTAAATAAGACATCACTTTGATTCTGTACAGGGAGTCCTCCACTTAACGACCGTGATGGAGCCCAACAGTTCTATCGGCCTCCATTGTGGTCGTAACCCGAGGACCACCTGCAAACCTTGTTTATGAAAATAGTTTGCTGTACAGGTAGTCCTTAGTTTTGAGCCCAAAATTGACGTTGCTGAGTGAAACGTTTGTTCAGTGAGTTTTGCCCCGTTTTACGGCCTTTCTCGCCACCGTTTTTAAGTGAATTGCTGCAGTTGTGAAGTCAGCAACCCGGTCGTTAAGCGAATCCAGCTTCCTCCCGTTGACTTTGCTTGTCAGAAGGTCGCAAAAGGGGATCGCGTGACCCCCAGGGACTCTGTGACCGTTATAAATAGGAGCCAGTTACTAAGCAGCTGGATTTTGATCATGTGACCACGGGGAGGCTGCGATGGTCGTAAGTGTGAATAAGGATCCTCCTAAGTCACTTTTTTTCAGTGCTGTTGTAACTTTGGTCGCTGAATGAATGGGTGGTAAGTCGAGGATTACGTATAATTCGGTATAATTTACCGAAAGGAAATAGCCTCGGAAATCTTGAGGTCGGTGATTTGAAAGCTGATGTCCAGCACCATCAATGTAAACCAGTGGTTCTCAACCTTTTTAATGCCGCGACCCCCAACCGGTCGTAAGTCGAGGACTACTCAACCGGTCGTAAGTCGAGGACTACTCAACTGGTGCAGCACCGTTTGCAGACTGGGACTTTTGGCGGGCTCGGCAGGGCAGAGAGCCTGGACAATTCCTATGGGCCTTTGCGAGCCAATAGAATTAGACTTTATTCAAGAGAGTCTATTCTATTGGCTTTCAAAAGCCAATAGAATAAAAGGGAGTAGCACAGCTAAGGAAAAGGGGGGAAAAAATGGCGGACTGCGTTGTTTGGCGACCCCCGTGAAATGGTCGTTCGACCCAAATGGGGTCCCGACCCACAGGTTGAGAACCACTGATGTAAACCCATTCCGGATATCAACGGCATTAGCGCTTAGACTTGTATACCGCATCACAGGCCTTTACAGTCCTCTTTGAGTGGTTTACAATGTCAGCCTCTGGCCCCCAACAATCTGGGATCTCATTTTACCGGCCTCGGAAGGCTGGACGGCTGAGCCAACCTTGAGCCGGAGGGTCAGGATCGAACTTCCTGGCAAGTGAGCAGGGAGTGAGCCTGCAATTCCGCCCTCTAACCACAGCGCCACCACGATTCTCCCAGATACAGCTGTGAATTATGCAGTTTATCCAGTGTCTTCTGTATCGTTAATGATTTATAGCAATGGTGACGAACCTATGGCACGCGTGCCAGAGGTGGCACTCGGAGCCCTCTCTGTAGGCACGCGTGCCATGCCCCAGAGATGGCACCTGTCCCTTTTCAACCAGCCGCCTGCTAACTCGCCGAAGTCCCACATGGCCGGATGCATCCCAGCACGGCTGGTTTCCCTCCCCCCCGCCCCATCCCTCCTGGCCTCACATGCTCTTTTCCCAGGCACGACCCACTGCATCGCCACCTCAGCTGTTGGCCAGCTGTCCAGCTCAACGGCGGGCTTCTCTGAACTGCTGGCAGGCTGCGGAGCTCCAGAGTGCGTTGGTCGAGGGGCCGGCAGGCTGTGGCTGCTGATGGACACTGTCGGCCAGACACGGACACGGACGAGCCTCCTACCCACCGCCCCACCTGCCAGAGACCCCCTGGATCTCCCCCAGCCCTGCCCATCCTCCACAGGCATCCCTCCCCCACGAGCAACATCAGGTGACCACGCCCACCTTGGCCACGCCCACCCAGTCTGCCATGACCACCACGGCCACGCCCACCCGGCACCCAGCAATAAATACGTGGGTTTTGGGTTGCAGTTTGGGCACTCGGTCTCTAAAAGGTTCGCCATCACTGATTTATAGCCAAAAAAAGTATCCATGGGGCCTGTGTGACATGTCATGAATGTCCTGCAAAGAACTTTGGAATTAATAAGATACGCTTTCCATGCAGATGGCGAACGTCTACCAGAAACGGAGGGATTTTGACCATCTCCATCGACAATCCTGGTGCTGTCCTCTCTCCGATGTGAGTGAAACTGAATAATCGAGACCACACATTAGATTCTGCTTCGGCTGATTCGTGGCTTATGCTTATACACAAGATTCTAGTCGGCTAGCGGTCAGTGCTAAATTAGAATAACAAGAGTTGGAAGAGACCTTGGCGGTCTTCCAGTCCAACCCCATGCTACACCATTTTGGAGAAATGGTTGCCCACTCTCTTCTTAAAAACCTCCAGGGATGGCTTAGATAAAAGTTAGCGGAATTGAAGAGAGATTGGACCGCTTGTGGGAACGTAACGATTCCAGGCTGGTTCCTCACTTGACTGCAACCCCGGTCCCTGCCTGTCCTTCTACAAAAGGACACTTTTATTTCCCATTAGCATATCCCATAGAGGCTTAGTTGCAAAGGTATTTGTGGGTTGATGAAAATAGCCATCATCCAAACCAGGTTTTCTCAGCATGGTACTCCTATATGGGGTTTCCATCAAGCTCGTTGGCAGATGCCCCAAATTAAAGACAGTTCTTTCCCAGCTTAATTCTCTAGACATTTAGCAAGAGTTATTGAAAAATTCAACTTGGATGGTGTTCAGCCACTGTCTTTTTTAGAAGCCTGGTTTCCTTTTACCACTAATTCTTCTAAGCATAACTGCTTTCTCCAGCAAATTCTCCCACACGACAGGGCCAAAGCAAGTGAGACGCAGTTTTGTGATTTTTTTTGCCTTCTGTTGACATGTCTGATGTTATGCCCTAGAGCAGGGGTAGGCAACCTTGGCTCTTTTATGACTCGCGGACTTCAACTCCCAGAATTCCTGAGCCAGTGTGGGGGAACTATGGCCCCTTCATGACTCGTGGACTTCAACTCCCAGAATTCCTCAGCCAGCATGGTGGAACAATGGCCCCTTCGTGACTCCTGGACTTCAACTCCCAGAATTCCTCAGCCAGCATGGGGGAACTTTGGCCCCTTCATGACTTGCGGACTTCAACTCCCAGAATTCCAGAGCCAGCATGGCTCAGCTTGGAAACCTCTCCCTTTCCTCTCAGCATGGCTGGCTCAGGAATTCTGGGAGTTGAAGTCCACCAGTCATAAAAGAGCCAAGGTTGCCTACCTCTGGCCTAGAGGACTTGCTTGTTAGTCACCTTCGTTGTCCGAAGAACACGCAAAGTCCTTCTCTGACGCCACAACTCAAACGAAACTTAATTTTTAATTTCAGCCCCGCGTCACTCCGGGGTCTTCTATTAAAATCCACTCAGCATGCCTTTGATGTTCGGCGTAACTGTCAATTGTCGTCTCCTGTTTTAAAGTGCAAACCTTTTGTTGGAACTGGGCGGGTGTGCTATCACAATCTGTTTTTGCTCCTGCAGCTCCTTGAAGCCGAGACTCGCCAGCAACCTCATCCCCCCGTTTCTCTTGAAGAAGGAGCAGTCGGAAGAGAAGAAGATCCCCAAAGGCGTCCCTCTGCAGTTCGACATCAACAGCGTCGGGAAGCAGGTGGGTTGCTCCGATCTGCCCTCCATCCAAAACTGGGAGCACAGTTCTGTCAGCCCCGATTAAGCTTGAGCATCAGCGTTGGCGCAGAGAGTTCTCGATTGACAAACATTCATTTAGTGACCAGTCAGACCTGCCGCTAGACCTGCTTGATAATCCTGTAAAGCAGTGGTTCTCAACCTGTGGGTCGGGACCCCATTTGGGGTCGAACGACCATTGCACGGGGGTCGCCAAACAATGCAGTCCACCATTTTTTCCCCCCTTTTCCTTAGCTGTGCTACTCCCTTTGATTCTATTGGCTTTTGAAAACCAATCGAATAGACTCTCTTGAATAGAGTCTCATTCTATTGGCTTTCCAAAGCCAATAGGGATTGTCCAGGCTGTCTCTGTCCTGCTGAGCCCGCCAAAAATCCCAGTCTGCAAACGGTGCTGCTGCACCAGTTGAGTAGTCCTCGACTTACGACCGGTTGAGTAGTCCTCGACTTAACGACCGGTTGGGGGTCGCGGCATTAAAAAGGTTGAGAACCATTGCTGTAAAGGCAAGACAAGAAGCGATGGATGGAAACTCAGCAAGGAGAGACACAACCTGGAACTAAGGAGGAATTTCCTGACAGTGGGGACAATTAACCAGGGGAACCACCTGCCTCCAGAACTTGTGAATGCTCCAACACTGGAGGTCTTCAAGAAGAGACTGGACAGCCATTTGTCTGAAATGGTATAGGATTTTCTGCCTGAGCAGGGGGTTGGACTAGATCAGTGGTTCTTAACCTTTTTGAACGAATCGCCCTCTTGAGCCAATGAGGAAGTTGTCATCGCCCCCCTCCCCCAACATAACCTCTCAATCACAGGAAATAATTCTTCAATTTATGCAAACCCTTTTTTTTTGTTTTCTTTAAAATTGTCATCAGGACATATCAATGCAAATCATTTATTTCCAGTCTTTTTTCCATATCTCCCATATTCTGGCCAATGGCGCGCCACTGTATGGGTAGAGGCTGCTGCGCAACGCGCATGAAGATAAGCGATGCGTATTCACATACGTATGGTGTTCTGTACGGAAGCTAGCTGGATGAACATTTAAAAACACAATTCGATCCACTAATAGCGAGCAATCTGATGTTTTTGTACGACAGATATACAGCGATTCACTGTACGAAAAAGTCTCAAAAGTGTCCCCAAAACTTCTCACTCCATCACCCCCATATCGCCCCCTTTTCATTCCTTCGCCCCCACATTGCCTCTTTTCGTTCCATCACCCCCCTGAAAAATGAGGGGGCAATATCGCCCAGGTTAAGAACCACTGGACTAGATGACCTCCAAGGTCCCTTCCAACTGTTATTATTATTATTCATTAGACGTGAACCTCAAATCAACTGAACATTCAAATTGACTGGCGTCGATGGTTAACACTGGTTGCTGCCAGCATCCTAGGTATCAGGTACCTCCTTAAAGCGTTCCGAGTAGCGCAGTTTTTTTGTAGCATGACTTCTCTCTTCTCTGCTTTACAGACCAGCATGACCCTCAATGAACGCTTTGGGATCCTGAAGGAACAAAGGACAGCTCTAGCTCAAAACAAGGGCAGCCGTTTTGTGACAGTGGCCTAGAAGAGGCCCTGCCCAACGGGCCCCCCTCCTTCGAAGGCGCTGGAGAGACTGTGGTCCAGAGATCGTGGGAGATGTTGGACTTTGTGGGTCAAGATCCCGAAGGAGCTGAATCCTCCTCCCCCTTCATTTACTCCCCTTAACTTTATACCGGGGCGTCCAACCGTGACCGCTTTTAAAAACACGTGGACTTCACTTCCCAGAAAGTCCCCAGCCCAGCCACGGGAGTTGAAGCCCACCGCTCTTAAAAGTGACCAAGATTGGACACCCCACCCCCCCCCCTTGCTTGGAATAGTTAGAGACCAGACAACCCAACCCTCTCGTATCCCCATAGAAGAAGGAAACGCAGCAGGCTTTGGTGAATGGAATCCCTTTGCCTGGAGGCGGGCAGGTCCAACTAACCCCTGCAAGAAGGGGGAGATCATAATTTGCTTTTTGTTGTTGTTGTTGTGGTTGTTTTTGAAGATGCCGGTAGGTGTTGACGCTCCACCCCAGTGCTGCCAAGATGAAAGAGTTATACAGTTGCTCTCCTGGTCCGGTTTACTTTTAGTTTTTGGCCGCAGAAGCAACCGGTGTGTGTGTGTGTGTGTGTGTGTGTGTGTGATTGTCGTGATGGTGATTGGGGATCTCCCATCACGGCTTCCCTAGCGGCGCCAGCATGAATCCAGTCCGTAGGCTTGCAGAACGAACGTGTGAGTATCTTCATAGTAAAACCTCCCGCCACCTCGAGTTAAATTTTATCCTTCGGTCACAAAGCGAGCCACTGGCTCTCTTTCAGGGCGTCCTCCACCGAAGTGAGCCCGGTTCCCTTTAATGTCACCCGCCGAGTTTTGTTGATGGTTGCTTTGTTGTGTAGTGAGACACGTACACTTTGTGACTCCTCTACTTGTCCGTCGTTCCACCAAGGGACCTTCCTGTTGTGTCAAGGGATCAGAAGTCATGGAGTCAACATCTCAGCTTATATACCCCAAACTCTCTGCATGTTTGATTTTTATTTTTTATTTTACTTCCAACCAGGGGATATTTGGAATCCTAAAACGAATAACGGAACTGCCTACAGGGACATCCTGAATTTCTGGATGTTCATTGGAGAAGATACACTTGACTCTGAAATGTTCATTTTATTGTGGTTTTCAAAGCAAAAAAGATTTGGGGCAGTCCTTAGAGCATTTTTTTTTCTAAATGGCCCATGATGATTAATGTTCTTTTGTTTCTTAATTTTTTATATATATATACCGTATATGCCGGCGTATTAGGCAATCCGGCGTATAAGACGACCCCCGTCTTTGGCGCCGAGTTTAGCGCTTCCGGAAGTCGTCTTATACGCCGGCATATACGGTATACACACACACCTTCTGTGTCAGTGTTTCTCAATCTTGGCAATGTGTGGACTTCAACTCCCACAATTCTCCAGCCATCCATGCCTGTTCCTTTTTCACGTACCCCCCCCCTAAAGAGGAGAGATTGCAGAGGAAGGGATTACAAGAGAGTAAGCTAACACTGTCTGGAGAATCCTGGGCGTTGAAGTCCACGCATCTTCAAAGTTGCCAAGGTTGAGAAACACTGTTCTGTATCATTACGGTGGGAAAAAGTCTGGGATATTTTTTTTTTCTCAATTGTGTACTAAAAATTCTGTTGGAAGTTTGTTAAAAAATGAAGTAGACCGGCCTTCCTTTAACCCGGTGCCCCCTAGGCGGATTGGAGAAGCTTCCATCATCCCCCCCCCCCACCAGTTAGGGACATTGTAGTAGCCCAACCCATCTCACGGGCACCAGGTGGGAGAAGACTGAAAGAGGTGGTATGCCAAGAACCATCCTGCGTTTGGTTTGTACCAGGATGCAGTTAAAATGAGCGAACAAACCTTTTGCATCAAACCGGATGCAAAAAAATCGATGCAATGCATCTCAAGAAAGCTAGTTTGTACTTAAGGAGAATATACTTTAAATCTGTACCTCTGGGTATTTTTTTTTTTTTTTTTTTGGGAAAAGTTAATACATTTGGATCTATTCTAAAGCTGTTGGACTTTTTAAAAATAAAAAAAAAAGTTACAAGTTTGTGGGTGTGCACAGTGGTTACTACATTGGGCAATTGGCCTGTGCAGGTACTCCTTGACTTACAAACCCCAGTTGAGCCCAAAATTTATCTGGTTAAGTGAGTTTTACAGCTTGTCTTGCCACGGGTTGTAAAGTGAATCACTGCATTTGTTAAGTTAGTAAGAAAGTCGTTAAGGGAATCTGGCTCCCCCCCCCATGGACTTTGCCCGTCGGAAGGTCGCAAAAGCGGATCACATGACCCCCGGGACGCTACAACCGTCATAAATATGAGTCGACTGCAAAAGCGTCTGAATTTTGATCACATGACCAGGGGGAATGCTGCATCAGTTAGAAGTGTGAAAAACGGTCATACGTCCCTTTTTTTTCAGTGCCATCGTAGCTTCGAACAGTCACTAAATGAAACTGTTGTAAGTCGGGGATGGCCTGTATTCTATCATGGGGGACTTAGAAAAAATGGCTGTTAAACTTTTACAGGTCGTCCTCGACTTACAACTATGGTTGAGCCCAGCAAGGCAACTCGAGTGAATTGTGTCCCATTTTACGACCTTTTTTTCCAACCGTTGAGCGAATCATTGCAGTTGTTAAGCGAATCGCATGGTGGTTAAGGGACTCTGGCTTCCTCCATTGACTTTGTTTGTCAGAAGGCGGTTGTTTAACGATCTTTGGAAGTAGGGGGTACCTTGCTCAATAATAGTGACTGTGAGAGGGATCTCGGAGTCCTAGTGGACAATCCCTTAAATAGGAGCCAGCCTTGTGCTGCAGCTGCCAAAGAAGCCAACACAGTGCTAGGCTGCATTAACAGAGGGATAGAATTAAGATCAGGTGAAGTGTTAATACCACTTTACAAGGCCTTGGTAAGGCCACACTTGGAATACGGCATCCAGTTTTGGTCCCCACCATATAAAAAAGATGCTGAGACTCTGGAAAGAGTGCAGAGAAGAGCAACAAAGATGATTAGGGGACTGGAGGCTAAAACGTATCAGGAACGGTTGCTGGAATTTGGTATCTCTAGTTTAATGAAGAGAAGGACGAGGGGGGACAGGATAGCAGCCTTCCAGTATCTCAGGGACTGCCCCAAAGAAGAGGGAGTCAAGCTCTTCTCCAAAGCGCCTGAAGGCAGGACAAAAAGCAACGGGTGGAAACTCATCAAGGAGAGAAGCAACCTGGAACTAAGGAGAAACTTCCTGACAGTGAGAACAATTCACCAGTGGAACAACCTGCCTCCAGAAGCGGTGAATGCTCCAACACTGGAAGTTTTTAAGAAAAGACTGGACAGCCATTTGTCTGAAATGATACAGGGTTTCCTGCCTAAGCAGGGAGTTGGACTAGATGACCTCCAAGGTCCCTTCCAACTTTACTACTACTACTACTACTACTACTACTACTACTACTACTACTATTACTAAAAGGGGAGCTTGATTTAAATAAAAATTGAAAATTAATTGAAAATTGGTCGGACCAGGCTGTGTCTGCGAGCTTTCTGTGACCTCTGTGAATTCTGTGTGTGTCAGGGACTTGCGTCCAAATGAAGTCAAGAGACGCTGATACAAACTTGTAGGTTTACATAAATATATTTTACATCTATATATAAAGCAAACTAGATAGTTGGGCAAACAGGATCGTCGTGAGGTAAATCACAGAGCCCACAGAGCAAAACACAAGAAAAAAGGCGGGAAAAAACAGAAACGCCCCCTCCATACCCACAGCAACCAATCACAACGCAGTTTGCCTCACAGGGCCAATTTCCAATCAATCAACTACAACTGTGTGTTCTGGCTCACTGCACAAATGCCACTGGTCCAGCTACTATGTTTTAAATATCTTAACACAACAGTTTGTGTTGTGTTAAGATATTTGTTAAGGTTTCTTGCACAACAGTGGACATATACACCTGTTTTTCACACTTAATGACCATTGCAGCATCCCCCGTGGTCACATGATCAAAATTTGGATGCTTGGCAACTGCCTCATATTTATGACGGTCGCAGTGTCCTGGAATCTTGTGATCCCCTTTTGCGACCTGACAAAGTCAGTGGGGAAGCCAGATTCACTTAACAACCATGTTACTAATTTAACAATTGCAGTGATTCACTCAACAACTTGGACAAGAAAGATAGTAAAATGGAGTTAACAACTATCCCCCAACTATTTCCTGCCTGAGCAGGGGGTTGGACTAGAAGACCTCCAAGGTCCCTTCCAACACTATTATTGTATTGTTGTTGTTATCCTGCTTAATAATGGAAATTGTGGTCATAAATCGAGGACTACTTGTACTACCCTTTGGTCTATATCAGGGTTGGCCCTTTTATGACTTGTGGACATAAATCGAGGACTACCTGTACTACCCTTTGGTCTATATCAAACCTGGCCCTTTTATGACTTGCGGACTTTAACTCCCACAATTCCTCAGCCAGGCACACTCCCCCTTCCATTGACTTTGCTTGTCAGAAGGTCGCAAAAGGGGATCACTCGATCCCAGGGACACACTGCAACCGTCATAAATATGAGTCGGTTACCAAGTGTCTGAATTCTGATCACATGACCCCGGGGATGCTGCAATGGTCCTAAGTGTGAAAATCGGCCGTAAGGCACTTTTTTCAGTGCCTTTGTAACTTTGAGCGGTCACTAAACAAACTGCATTCCCCTGTATTTTACCTCTTCTCCCCCCAGCCTTTTGATCATGATTTATCACTTCTTGGTTATATATACACTTATACATGCCGTGGGTTCAATCACACATAATAATAATAATAACAACAACAACTTGAACACCATTGGCATTGACAAATTCATTATTAGTCAATTGCAAAAGGCGGCTTTAGTAGGAACTGCTTCCATCCTGCGACGATATCTGTAATACCATCAAACATCCACATCTGCCTATCCCAGGTCCTGGGTAAGGACTCGATAGGTAGACAAAATGCCAAATCCAGTCTGAACATCTGGCTGACTGTGCGATGATCGATAATAATAATAATAGTAATGATGATAGAGTTGGAAGGAACCTTGGAGGTCATCTAGTCCAACCCCCTGCTCAGGCAGGAAATCCTATACCATTTCAGACAAATGGCTGTCCAGTCTCTTCTTAAAAACTTCCAGTGTTGGAGCATTCACCGCTTCTGGAGGCAGGTTGTTCCACTGGTTAATTGTTCTCCCTGTCAGGAAATTCCTCCTTAGTTTAGATTGCTTCTCTCCTTGATTAGTTTCCTTGATTAGTTCCTGGCCCGGATTAGCTGGCCAATCAAGAATTTAATTCTATTCTATTCTCTGGACTACGACTCCCAGAAGCCCAGAGGCCTGCCAGGGGAAAACGGGAAGCGCCTCGCCGCTCTGCGCAGGCGCCCTTCCGCGCGGGAGGCCGTCTTCCGCCCTTCTCCCCCTCACGCCGGCCCGCCCGCCCGCCTCGGCGCAGGCGCAGAGCGGGGGGCGGGGAAATGGCGGCGGCCGCGGCGGCGGCTGAGGGCGGCTGCTCCGGTGGCGGCGGCGGCGGCTCCGCGGTGCTCATGCCGGCGGCGGCGGCGGCGGCGGCGGCCAGCGGGAGCCTGGCGACGGGGGGCTGCGGCGCGGCGGGCCCGTCGTCGTGGACGCGCTCGCTGGAGCGGGCGCTGGAGGAGGCGGCGGCCAGCGGCGCCCTCAGCCTCAGCGGCAGGAAGCTGAGGGACTATCCGCGGGGCAGCGCGGCCGGCCATGACCTCAGCGACACCACCCAGGCCGGTGAGCGGGGAAGGCGGCCGGGCGGGCGGGAAAGATGGGGGTGGAGGTCGGACTACACGCCCCATGAGGCGCGGCGGAGCGGACTCCACGGCCCAGGCGCCGCAGCCGAGGCGGTTGTGAAGTAAACTCGCGGTGGGGTGGGGGGTGGGGTGGATGGGTCGTGTGGACTCCCGGAAGGAGTCAGGTGGATGCGGGCAGCGGGAGACGCGCGTCGTGAGAAGGCGGCCCGTGTCTGACCTGCATTTGAAGACAAGGACAAAATAAGACTTGGAAGGGACCCTGGAGGTCTTCTAGTCCAACCCCCTGCTCAGGCAGGAGATCCTTCTCTCTTTTTCTTTCTCCTCCTTAGAATAGACAGAGTTGGAAGGGACCCTGGAGGTCTTCTAGTCCATCCCCCTGCTCAGGCAGGAGACCCTATTATCATTTCAGACAAATGGCTGTCCAGTCTTTTCTTTGGCCTTACATCTCTTCTCTTCCCCCACCCTCCACCCCAAGCTTGTTTAATGCTGGGGTGGCTTTTGGGGGGGGGGGCTGTTGGGCCTAAAATTAGGAAGTCTGTGATGAGTCTGACGACCACCGCCGAGTCTGAAGCGTATGTTGCTAAAGTGAGACAAATAAGATAAGATAACCTTTAGTAATAGTAATAGTATAAAGTTGGAAGGGACCTTGGAGGTCATCTAGTCCAACCCCCTGCTCAGGCAGGAAACCCTACACCATTTCCGACAAATGGCTGTCCAGTCTCTTCTTAAAAACTTCCAGTGTTGGAGCATTTACTGCTTCTGGAGGCAAGCTGTTCCACTGATTAATTGTTCTCACTGTCAGGAAGTTTCTCCTTAGTTCTAGGTTGCTTCTCTCCTTGATTAGTTTCCACCCGTTGCTTCTTGTCCTGCCTTCAGGTGCTTTGGAAAATAGCTTAATTCCCTCTTCTTTATGGCAGCCCCTGAGATATTGGAATACTGCTATCATGTCCCCCCTTGTCCTTCTCTTCGTTAAACTAGACATATCCAATTCTAGCAACCGTTCCTTATATGTTTTAGCCTCCAGTCCCCTAATCATCTTTGTTGCTCTTCTCTGTACTCTTTCTAGAGTCTCAACATCTTTTTTACATCGTGGTGACCAAAACTGGATGCAGTATTCCAAGTGTGGCCTTACCAAGGCATTGTAGAGTGGCATTAATACTTCACGTGATCTTGATTCTCTCCCTCTGTTAATGCAGCCTAGCACTGTGTTGGCCTTTTTGGCAGCTGCAGCACACTGCTGGCTCATATTTAGGTGATTCATATTTATTGTCATTTTATTTTACTGTGGGCACCACAGCACACATCAAAAATGAAATTTAGTTGCCCGCTCTCAAAGTGAGCTTTTGTCCCGTTTTGCCAGCTTCTTGGCCCCGGTGGTTAAGCCAATCGTAGCAGTTGTAGAGAGTGTCACACGGTTGTTAAGTGAATCGGGCTTCCCCATTGACTTTGCTTGTCGGAAGGTCGTGTGACCGATCCCCTGAACATGGCAACCGTCGTAAATATGGACCAGCGGCCAAGCATCGGAATTTGGATCGCGTGACTGTGGGGATGGTCGTAAGTGTGAAAAACGGTCGTAAATCCCTTTTTTCAGCGCTATTGTAACTCTGGAAAGTCGCTAAACGAATTGTTGCCAAGAAATCCCTGTGGTTTTTTTTTTGTACCCTACCCTCGGAGGAGGAGTCTCTCCATCAAAGGATCTAATGATGGTTTAGCCGTGGGCAGAGTAAGGTGGGAATCTGGGTCCCCTGTCTTAGGGAAGGAGAAGATCTGGTGGCTTGGCTTCTGAGTTTGTTTATTCCTGTCAAAAGCATCAGAATGAAAAAAAGGCATATTATACGACCTAACATTTAAAATATAAAGTGCAAGATTAAAACATGTGCAAATGAAACAGATCTTGCCCAGAAAGTAGCAACATGGACTGATTAATTAATCAATTACTTTACATTAAGTCAGTGTTTCCCAAACTTGATAATTTTAAGGCATGTGGACTTCAACTCCCAGAATTCCACAGCCAGCGTTGCTGGCTGTGGAATTCTGGGAGCTGAAGTCCACATGCCTTAAAATTGTCAAGTTTGGGAAACACTGCATTAAGTGATTAATTTACTTCTGAATAAAGAGACCTCTTTGGGATGCAGGGTTTGAGGCTGTATCTCTCAGAGCTTTCACTGGTCGCCAGTTCCGCTCAAACTGGGTGACTTGGATATCTGAGTGAACGTGTGTGCCTGTGTACAGGTAGTCCTTGACTTACAACCGTTCATTTAGTGACTGAAGTCAGAGTGGCACTGAAAAAAAATGATTTATGACCGTTTGACACACTTACGGATGTTGGAGCATCCCCACCATCACGTGATCACAATTCAGACACTTGGCAAACTGGCTTACATTTATGATTGTTGCAGTGCCCTGCGGTCATGTGATCCGCTTTTGCGATCTTCTGACAAGGGGAAGCTGGACTCACTTAACAACCGTGTTACTAACGTAAACAACCGCAATGATTTACTTAACAACTGGGGCAAGGAAGGCCGTAAAGTGGGACAAAATTCATTGATCGACTGTCCTGTTTAGCAAGGGGAATTTTGGCCTGAATTTTATTTTATTTATTTTATTTTTAAAATTTATAAGCCGCCCCACTCCCGAAGGACTCTGGGCGGCTAACAATAAAAAACACATAAAACATAACAAACAACAATACAAAAACAATCATCCAGGGGTAAGATTTTATAAACCCCAGGCCTGCCGGAAAAGTTGTAAGTCGAGGACTACCCACATAAGAAAGCTAGAAGAGTAGAGTCCAACCATTCTGAGCCAAAAAATAAAGCAAAAATAAAAGTCGAACAAATAGCTGAGAGATGCAGAAGGAGGAGCAACTGGCATTGGACAGCCGTCTTGCGTAGCGACAGACATTTTGGGCTCAAATGTGGTTGTGTTGAGGACTACCTGTCTTCAGGGACCTGGGATCTGGCCTTCCAGTTCAGGAGCTGCTTTCTGTTCTTGGTGCAGAAAAGAGCAGCTACCGGAGAGAGGCTGTCCTCAAATGCCAGGCGAGTTTGTTGATCCAGTTTTTGAATGTTTAGCATCTGAATAACTCCTGGGCTAAAGAGGAGCCAAGCGTCTGCAGGTATTTGTTCAGGGAGAAAAACAAAAGCAAAGGAGCTTGCAGGATCCTCCTGGAGTTCACCACCGAAGGAGGCTCTGATGTTTTTGTAAAATAAGAGGACCACGGAAGTCTTGTGAAGTCCAGTTGGGCTGGCAAACGCTCCCCAGGGACCATCCCTCGGGCAGCAGCGATGATGAGGTCTTTTTATGTAGTCGCAATCTCTCGGCTTGACCACACGTAAACAGCAAGGGAAGCAAAGGAAGGAGGCAGGCCAGCTGGCTGTAGGAACTTTTCAGTCTGAAACTTGACCGAAGGGGAAAGGGCGTGGAAAGAAACTGAGATACAACCAAACCAGAGATGAAGCTGAGCAGATTAACTACATCTGCTCAGCTTCATCTCTGGTTTGGTTGTATCGGTTGCTAAGGGCCAGTTGTCATCGTTGCTAAGGGCCAGTTTGGTCTAGTGCAGGGGTAGGCAACCTTGGCTCTTTTATGACTCGTGGACTTCAACTCCCAGAATTCCTGAGCCAGCATGGGGGAACTATGGCCCCTTCATGACTCGTGGACTTCAACTCCCAGAATTCCTCAGCCCGCATGGCTCAGCTTGGAAACCTCTCCCTTTCCCCTCAGCGTGGCTGGCTCGGGAATTCTGGGAGTTGAAGTCCACGAGTCATAAAAGAGCCAAGGTTGCCTATCCCTGGTCTGGTCGTTAAGGCACCAGGCCAGAAACCAGGAAAGAGTGAGTTCTGGTCCCGCTTTAGGCAGGAAATCCAGCTGGGTGACCTTGGACCAGGAGATGGTGAGTTCTAGTTCCGCCTTAGGCATGAAAGCCAATCGGGCGACTTTGGCCCAATCACCAGGAGACCGGGAGTTGTAGTCCTGCCTTAGGTTTGAAAGCCGGTTGGGTGACTTTGGGCCAATCGCCAGGCGATGGGAGTTCTAGCCCAGCCTTACTGATGAAAGCTTGGTGGGTTACCTTGGGTTGCCGGTCACTCTGTCTCGGCCCAACCCACCTGACAAGGTTGTCGTTGTGAAGAAAATGGGAGGGGGGGGAGGTTAGGCATGTTCGCTGCCTTGAATTATTGGTATATATAATGAAGGTGGGATGCAAATAAATATTTTTGTTTTTAAATGAAGGGTATGGTTGATTGGATGGGCTGTTAAGATATTCAAACTTTTTTTTATTTGTGGGTTCCAATAATGCCCATAGCTCAAGTTGTTAAAACGATGCACTTGCTGTGAATGAGTACATGCTATTTTAAAGAGAAAGAGCAAAATTTTCTAATTTTGTAACTGCAGAGGTCAGGAGGGAATAGCCTGCTAGCTTTGTGCCAGTGCTTGCTGCCTCCTCCTCCTCCTCCTCCCCCCCCCCCAATTTTGGGATTAGAAGGCAAGATGGAGGATTGGAATGATGTTCCCCCTTCGTCTTTTGCCCCCAGGAGAGGCAGGAAGTGATGGAGGGTGGGCGGAAGTCCTGTTCTGCTGCTGAATTATGGTCTCTGGGCTTCAGGCATCAGCTAAACTAGGCAGGGGTGTGCAACTATGGCCCCTTTACGACCTGTGGACTTCAGCTCCCAGAATTCCTGAGCCAGCCATGTTTCCACATGATGCACATTGCCTATGTGCACATTCTGCCTGTCTTTCTCAGTGGGGGGGGAAATATCTAGGCAGCCACTGCTAAAATGAAAATGTTGGGCACCACCAGATAAGGGGATTCTGAGCCCCTTTTCCTGAGCGTTATATTCAGGAAAATATATATTTGGAGAGGGAGAAATAATTTTCTGGTAAAAATTGCAGACTCCCTGATAGTCCTTGAATTAAAGGGGAAAAAAAATATAAGGTGGTCCTCATTTAGCTACCAGAGTTGAGACTGGCAGCTTGCTC